AGACAAATCCTTCTACTGTTATGGTCCAGCTTCAACAGTTCAAAAAGAAATTTTTTTAAAAATAAAAAAGGGGGAATAATGTCCCCAGTCCCCACATGACTCATCAAATAATACACTCCTCATTTAAAAATTTTATAATGTGAATGCCAGTGAGCTTCAGACAGATTCTGGCATGATGGAACTTGAGCAACCATTGCTCAGATCAAATGGAGACATCCATACACTAGACAGTGGAGAAGACCCTAATTTGGGGTCGAGGGCATGTTTGTGTTTTCTTGCAGGAAAGGAATAGAGCTTCAGCAACTGTCAGACCATTTAGTGAGATGCATGGAGCAGAGAAAAACTGGACCTGAGACCATGGGAGCCTACCTAAGCCAGTTTGAGTGAGATCTCCTAAATCAGTGTTCCTGATCCTTGATGTCATCAAATCTAGAGCCCAAGAAAGAAAGAAAACAAGTCAGTTCCAGATTTCCAGTTTTTCAACAGACCTGCTGCATTAACCTTCCGGACCCGTGAGTTTTCATCCCGAAGCCAACAGAGAACTGGAAAGACTAACTATCTGCCCTTGACACACCTTGAAACAACAGAATTCATTTTGCCAGTTTTCCCTTTAGGGGAAAAAAGGACCCATTTAAAGTATTTGGACATTGGTATGGACTATGAGTGGCAAAAGCCTCTTTTCAGTATTTGAACAGGACATGGTCACTTGATGGTTCCTGTTTCTGGAATCACGACTAGGCCAGTGTATTTTTCTGGAGAAATGCAACTTGTCCTAATGTGACAACTATTGTTCATATTTTTCATAATGCTACATGTGTAACATCAATGATTGTGCCCAATGTATCTGTGCAAGTGCACTTTCTAAATGCTTTCCTGACCAGATCTTGAAACGATTGGAAACTTTATCAAATTGTAAATGTAAATCACATGCGGGTTACCCTTGTAACAGAATGTAAATCATGTGCATGTTACCCTTGTAACAGATGAAGGCTGGTAGAATGTTATGGCCCAGATCTGGTGATGGGTATGGTGATGGAGAGGCGCTATGTCAATGGGGGTCCTGGAAATGGTGGCAGTGGCGGTAGGCATTCTGGCTTTATGCCAAGCTCAAACGTGCCTTGTTCCAGAGACAAGAGATCCGTAACCAAGTATTGCTTAGCTTAGCCCATGGCAATCCCGATAGCCATAAAGGTTGGTTACAGATGATTTAAGGTTGGGGTATCTCCGATGACGGGCAACCTGTGGGGAAGACCCTCCCACCTAAAACAGGGGTTCAAGGTCCCCCAAAGACGGGAAAGGGAGGGTGACCCTACTTGACCTAAGCCAGGAGTGCCTCATTTGAAAATAAAAAGGGGTGAATTGTGGGAACACCAGACCTTGAGCAGAGACCCACTTCCCCTTCTGCCTGGGAGTAGGCAGCTGTAAGACAATGTTTAGTAAAAACATGTTTACTAAAAACGATACAATAAGTTCCTGGCCACTTCCCCTTCTGCCTGGGAGTAGGCAGCTGTAAGGCAATGTTTAGTAAAAACATGTTTCCTAAAAATGATACAATAAGTTCCTGGGAAAGGCCTTCCCACAGAAACCGCCCTGACCTCGACCTTGTCCAAAGACTAACCGCACCTTCAAAAACCCACACACATCCACCTCTGGGGTCAGAGCAGAACCAGCCAGGGGAGAGGAGAGAGCAGAAGCTTCTCTGGTGGGAGCTTTTTCTTAGGAAGTTTTTCTTGAACCTTTTTGGAGCCTGTTTAAAGTTCTCTTTATATCATTAAACGAGTCTCTGTGTTTTCAATACCCGACACCCTCCGCACGTTCTCGGACACAGGCCGAGCAGCAGACGTGACATACCGGCCCGGCAGCATTTTGGGTAGCCACTATGGAGAACCGCCCCCAGCTTACATTAAAGATAGAAGGCAAGTCCTTTAGGGGCGTCTTAGATTCTGGGGCAGATTTCTCTGTCCTCTCAGATAAATTCTGGCCCCCTGCCTGGCCGAAAGAGGAAGGAACAGTGACCCTCCAGGGAATAGGACAGGCTGTGCCCCAAAAAAGCCTCAGAATCTTAAAGTGGCAAGACTCTGAAGGCCACACAGGGCTTTTCCAGCCATATGTTTTGCCTGGCCTCCCTATTAACCTCTGGGGACGGGACCTCATGCAAGAAATGGGAGTGGTCCTCACCACTCAGGCACCCAAGTCCAAAAGCAGGGGCCCCCAGATGACGCAAGGGAGGGGCTGGAGCCCGGGGAGGGAACTAGGTAAACTAGAACAGGGAGAGGTTTGCCCTGTGGCATCCCTCCCTTTGGAGACCAGGGCCCCAGGGGATAGAAAGGGTTTTGGTCATTTTTGAGGGAAACTGAGAGATCTAAAAGGCTGGCCAGTAAGGCTATGCGGATGTGTTAAAAAGGGGTACCAAGCTAGGGGTACCGGATTAAATCTCCAGGCCTTCGCCTGACACCAAGGTCAGGAAAGAAAGGGGAACCTGAGAGATCACCCTCAGTTGGAGGATGGATTAAAAGTGAGTAAATTGAAAATTGGTAACAGTTAATAAAGGAGGTACTGGTATTAAGTAAAAAAAAAAAGAAAAAGACAAAGGTATATGGAATGAAAAATTTTGTTTACATTTAAGTTCTATTTTGTGAGTCATCTCTAAAAACTTTTGGCCAAAAACCTGGCCTCTCCACCTTGCATCTACAGAGTTACAAGGAGTAGGTACGGCTGTACCCCATGACTGTAGCTCAAATGGAGGAATGATAAAGAACATACAGGACTTTTTAACCCTTTTAGTTCAAGGATTGGCTGGAGTTGTTCTTTTACATAGATTTCAATTAAGGAAGCTTCATTGCAACAGACTAATCATGACCTAGGGAAAAAGGATGACTGAAAGATGCATGTATGTTCTGAATGTATGGTGTGGCCACACCGGTATGTATGAAATGTGATTGTAAATGCGTGAGTGTGAACTGCTTATATGATTAAAAGGATACTTAAATCCCTTCAAAAATAGTTCAGAAGCTACCTAGATTGCTTTAAATATAGACAAAAGGAACATCCAGCCAGTCTGTTAATGTTTTAACAGAAAAATTTAAGATGCAAATGAGGCCTTGTCAGCTAGTGAGAGCTCTACAGGTTAGATTGGGAAAGACTGCTCACAGACTTCAAATAATTTTCAAAAGTTATTTAGACACAGCATACTTTACAATCTTTGAGTGATTTTCAGAAGTTTTTGGGAAATATCCAAAGGATATGTCCTTTTTAATGGGCATCTACAAATAATCTAAATAGTAATCCCAATTTACCTAGATAGTCAACCAAGGAGGGTAGACAAATCCTTCTACTGTTATGGTCCAGCTTCAACAGTTCAAAAAAAACAACTTTTTTTAGAAAATAAAAAAGGGGGAATAATGTCCCCAGCCCCCACATGACTCATCAAATAATACACTCCTCATTTTAAAATTTTATAATGTGAATGCCAGTGAGCTTCAGACAGATTCTGGCATGATGGAACTTGAGCAACCATTGCTCAGGTCAAATGGAGACATCCATACACTAGACAGTGGAGAAGACCCTAATTTGGGGTCGAGGGCATGTTTGTGTTTTCTTGCAGGAAAAGAATAAAGCTTTAGCAGCTGTCAGACCATTTAGTGAGATACATGGAGCAGAGAAAAACTGGACCTGATACCATGGGAGCCTACCTAAGCCAGTTTGAGTGAGATCTCCTAAATCAGTGTTCCTGACCCTTGATGTCATCGAATCTACAGCCCAAGAAAGAAAGAAAACAGTTGGTTCGAGATTTCCAGTTTCTCAACAGACCTGCTGCATCAACCTTCCAGACCCATGAGTTTTCATCGTGAAGCCAACAGAGAAAAAAGGACCCATTTAAAGCATTTGGACATTGGTATGGACTATGAGTGGCAAAAGCCTCTTTTCAGTATTTGAACAGGACATGGTCACTTGAAATATCAAACTTGGTGGTTCCTGTTTCTGAAATCACGACTAGGCCAGTGTATTTTTCTGGAGAAATGCAACTTGTCCTAATGTGACAACTATTGTTCATATTTTTCATAATGCTACATGTGTAACATCAATGATTGTGCCCAATGTATCTGTGCAAGTGCACTTTCTAAATGCTTTCCTGAGCAGATCTTAAAACGATTGGAAACTTTATCAAATTGTAAATGTAAATCACATGCGGGTTACCCTTGTAACAGACGAAGGCTGGTAGAATGTTATGGCCCAGATCTGGTGATGGGTATGGTGATGGAGAGGCGCTATGTCAATGGGGGTCCTGGAAATGGTGGCAGTGGCGGTAGGCATTCTGGCTTTATGCCGAGCTCAAACGTGCCTTGTTCCAGAGACAAGAGATCCGTAACCAAGTATTGCTTAGCTTAGCCCATGGCAATCCCGATAGCCATGAAGGTTGGTTACAGATGATTTAAGGTTGGGGTATCTCCGATGACGGGCAACCTGTGGGGAAGACCCCTCCCACCTAAAACAGGGGTTCAAGGTCCCCCAAAGACGGGAAAGGGAGGGTGACCCTACTTGACCTAAGCCAGGAGTGCCTCATTTGAAAATAAAAAGGGGTGAATTGTGGGAACACCAGACCTTGAGCAGAGACCCACTTCCCCTTCTGCTTGGGAGTAGGCAGCTGTAAGACAATGTTTAGTAAAAACATGTTTACTAAAAATGATACAATAAGTTCCTGGGAAAGGCCTTCCCACGGAAACCGCCCTGACCTCGACCTTGTCCAGAGACTAACCGCACCTTCAAAAACCCACACACATCCACCTCTGGTGTCAGAGCAGAACCAGCCAGGGGAGAGGAGAGAGCAGAAGCTTCTCTGGTGGGAGCTTTTCTTAGGAAGTTTTCTTGAACCTTTTTGGAGCCTGTTTAAAGTTCTCTTTATATCGTTGAACGAGTCTCTGTGTTGTCAATCCCCGACACCCTCCGCACGTTCTCGGACACAGGCCACGCAGCAGACGTGACAGGCAGAACACTGTATATGTAATAAATAAATAAATCTTTAAAAAAATAACTACATACACAATACTCTCCTTAGATGCCATTTCTTCAGCCACAAGGAGGGACAACAGATAGTGACATCCACGACTACAGGCATAACCCTAGGCATGGCCTGGAATAGAAGTTCTTTATATGCAGCTGAGGTCAAGGAAGTTATGGAGACGCAGATGCCATCATCCTGAAGGTTCTTAAAGAACACTCGGCCATCTTCAGTTTCTTTGTAGCTCTTTTTGCTAGTCATTCTTCTGTAACAAGTGTGTCCCTTGGAAATTCCTGAGATTTGGCAATATTTAGCATCCAGGAACATCTGTCATGATTAAGGAATTGATAGACCATATCTGTAACTAACTTTCTATTTCCAACCAAACAGTATTTGTGTCTGAGAATTACTGAGTCAAGTTAAATGTGGTTGTTTCATGTCCTGCCAAAGTTGGGTTTCATGCAAAATTAGGCAGAGCAAGGAAATGGACCAATTCCTGGGAATAATAGTAACTGAAGTTCATCACTTGCACCTTAAATTAGGATGTTTTTGTTTTGTTTTTATAACCAAGGTCATGAATCCTCTCACCTTGGAATCCTTGAAAAGGAATCCCTCTGAAGTGGGCATCATTTTCTAGTGAACTGGATCATTTAGAACAACTACCAATTCTAGTCCCCTCTCCTCCAAGTGGTGCTTTCTGTCAGTCAGCTCACTTAACCCTCACTACAGGGGAGGCAGGCTGGCCTGCAGACAGAAGGGATGACACTGGAGGACTAAGGAGCCAGCTAGGGGCAAGAGGCCAAGTTAGTAAGTGCCAGAGTTTGCCTACCTTCCTGACTCTGAAGCCCTCTCCTCCTGAGTACAGGGCACCTACATTAGTGGCTCAGGGATGGATTTCGGGGGTTATAGAGTTTTTGAATACAGGGTCTTAAAAACTAGTTTTTAAATATATAGGCTATATCTACTTTAATCTGGCATTGGCTTGCTTCTCCTATACAGCGAGCTGGATAGTAAAAAGGACTAAGAGCAATTGCAGAAGCAGGAGGAAGCCAGCAGGTATCGGGACACATCTAGAGCCTACAGTGCAGGGTAGCTGGCCAGCTGGAAAGGTGCCAGGTAATTCTGCTGGGACAGAGGGACCTGACAACAGAGGCCAGGCATTTCTAGACAGCCAGGCAATGGCAAACTTCAGGATATCCCTTTTCCCAAAAGCTTGGAATAAGATGTGAGATTTAGGATGTTTTTAGATTGTGGAATATCTGCATATACATTATGAAAGATTTTGGTTATGGAAACACTCAAACCCAAAAGACACTTATGTTTCATATTTCTTGCAGACATAGCCTGGAGGTAATTTAATGCAACATTCATAGCATGCCAACATTTTTGCTGAGGGTATCATGTTGATATTCAAGTCTTAGATTTTGAAATATCTTAATTATCATATTAGAGATGCCTAATCTGTATAATAAATTATTTTATTAATAAATTATTTGTACATAAAGTACACTCGGCTTTGTATAGGGCTAATCAGTTTCTTTTCTTTCTTTCTTTCTTTTTTTTGTTGTTTTTTTGAGACAGGGTTTCTCTGTATAACAGTCCTAACTGTCCTGGAACTAGCCATGTAGACCAGGCCTGCCTCTGCCTTCCCAGTGCTGGGATTAAAGGCATGGGCCACCACAGCCCAGATGGCTAATCGGTTTCTATGCCAGTAGCCAGGCAATGCAGACCTTGAGGAGTTCCTTGAGTTTGGCTATAGAAAAGCCTACTTTACCTCTAAATAGCTCTGACCTTGGACAAGCAATTTAATTTCCCTTGGCTTCAGTTTCCTTATCTGTAAAATGGAGATTGTTAGGGTTACTGCTCTGTAAAGTTACTGGAAGTAGTATGGTACACCCTAAGACTTACTTTGGGAAGAGCCTGGACACAAAGTATAACTAATCTCATTTCATCTATAGAATATATTATTGTATTTTTCTTTTTTAATTTATTTATTACATATACACCAGATTGAATTGTAGATGGTTGTCAGCCACCATGTGGTTGCTGGGAATTGAACTCAAGACCTCTGGAAGAGCAGTCAGTGCTCTTAACCTCTGAGCCATCTCTCCAGCCCTTATTGTATTTTTCTAATGATCTTTTTGTTATAGATTTCTATGAGGTCTTGAATTTTAAAATTATATTTCATTTATTAATTTGTGTGGAGGGGAGCACTACCACAGCATGTATTTGTAGGGTATTGGTTTCCCCTTCTACTGAATGGGTCATGAGGATTGTGTCTTAACCTTCTGATTCATCAGTCCCAATGCTGGCAGAGGTCCAGGCAACAGCTGGGCATGACGTTGAATGGAGGCAGAGGCAGATGGATCTTTGTAAGCTCAAGGATGGCCAGTCGGAGTTTACAATAGTGAGACCCTATCTCAAATAAGGAAGGAAGAAAGGGAGGGAGGGAGGGAGGGAGGGAGGGAGGAAGGAAGGAAGGAAGGAAGAGAAAAGAAAGGAAAAGAAACATTACGGTCAGGTGTGGTGATGTACACCTATAGTTCCCAGCTACTTAGGAATCTGAGGCAGGAGGCTCACTGCAACTCTCAAGTTTGGAGCAGTGAGGCCCCATTTCTAAGCAAGCAGACTTAGCTCACTGCTCCCCTCACAGCTGTCCTTTCCACTTACTGAATCCTGTCACTTTATACTATTAGAAGGATTGTGGAGTCAGCTGCTGACCCACAGTTTCCTGGCCACTGTAGAGACAGGAAGAGCTTTGCTGGGCCAGTTCTGCAATATGCTTCTTCCTTTACAAGTTGCTACTATGGTGCTTCGCTGGCCCTTGAAACAATTTTTTCAATTTCATCATTTCCTGGGCAAAGTCTATCCGCCCCCCACAGTGTCTTACTATGTAGCCCTGGCTGTTCTGGAACTTATTCTGTAGACCAGGGTGGCCTTGAACTCATAGATCTGCCTGCCTCTGCCTCCCCAGTGCTGGGATTAAAGACAGGCATGACCACTGTAAATTTTAATTTTATTAAGTTAAATGTATAAGGATGTTCCTCTATGACTTTGCTCATTGTAGTTAAAAGTTTTTTCATACTCAAGGCCAGAAAAAATATGGTATCCCGTTTTTTGTTCATTTAAAACTATTTTTTGCTGGGCGGTGGTGGCGCACGCCTTCAATCCCAGCACTCGGGAGGCAGAGGCAGGCGGATCTCTGTGAGTTCGAGGCTGGGCTGGACCGATAGCCTCCAAAACAATACAGAGAAACCCTGCCTCGTAAAAACAAACAAACAAACAAAAACCTATTTTTTAAAAATTGTATTTATTTGTGTATATGGGTATTTTTCCGACATGCATGTCTGTGCAGTGCCCATGGGGGCCGGAGTTACAAAGTGGGTTCTGGGAAAGGAATCAAGTTCACTGGAAGGACTTGCTCTCAACCACGGAGCCAACTCTCCATTCTCTAAACTTTTTTAAAGATAGACATAGACTCTCACTTTGCAACCTTGGCTGGCCTGCAAGTGGCCATGTAGACCAGGCTGGCCTCTGAGCTCTGTCTACCTCTGCCTCCTGAAAATTAGGATTAAAGGTGTGTGCCATCATGCATGGCTCATTTAAACATTTTTAATTATTAACAATAGCAGTTTAATCAGAAGAGGCTCCTTTGAAATAGTAATGCCAAACCTACTTTTTGAAACAGGGTTTGTTCTGTAATTTAGACTGGTCTTGAATTTAGAGCCCTTTTGCTACAGTCCCCTGAAAACAGACTTTAATTCTTTGTATTTAACTCTCTCCCTACTTACGCTTCCCTCCTCCTTCTCTTTTTTAAGGGCAGGGTCTTACGTAGGCCCAGGTTGGTCCAGTTTTTCTGGGTAGCTCTGGATGGCCTTTCATTCTTGATCTTTCTGTTCTCACTTCCAAGTACAGGGACTACAGATGTGCACCTCTGCCTGACCCTGTCTTTCTCCCTCACTGGAAGTGGACAGACTTACTTTAAGGAATGGATCTGAGGATGGTTTTAAGGTGCCCTCGTGGCTGAGTGATTAGGACACATACTGCTGTTACAGAGGACTCTGTTCCCATCCCAGCACCCACAGTGGGCAGCTCACAATCACCTCAACTCCAGCCCCAGGAGCCTCGGCAGGCACCTGCATTAATGTGCACACAGACAAACACACTATCAAAACTAAGATATTTTAAAAATAAAAATCAGAAAAGCCACCGCGGAGCACCTTGACAAAGGAAGCTGATTAGGAAAACATTCCTGCGGAGGCACTTAGTCACTGCTGGACTGCTGCACTTTGCACCTTGGTGGTAAGTGGTTTGCAGGAATGAGAAGCTTGCACACTGGCAGTGGAGACCAATGGCTGAGAGATTTAAAAAGGCGAAGTGAAAGTGGAGCTGGCCGTGAGAAACTTCAGGACTGTTTCAGGGATCAAAGAACAATGCGGGTAAGCACATGAGAGTGCAGGGGGCAGAGACTGGGATCACCCTAAGTGTGACAGAGGAAGGTCCTGGAAGACATGAAGTCAGGGTCTACATAGTCAGGTGACTGGAGGCAATGGCAGCATGGGGCCAGGGTTCAGTACCCAGTGAATATGGGGTGTGTGTGCGTGTTTGTGTGTGTGAGCTCAAGAGGCAAAACTTGGTAATAGGGAGACTATGAAAATGAATCTTTTTTCTCATTTAAAATTATATTTATTATATATTTCATTTGTATACATATGTGTGTGCATACTATGGGTGCATACACCATGGCACACAGAGTTTTTTCTTTCCTATAGTGTGGATCCTGGGAATCCAACTTAGGCCTTTTGGCTGCAAGTACCCACTGAGCAATTTCACTGGCCCCTCAAAAACTAACTTCAAAGGAGGAGAAGTTAGGGATCTGAGCAAGACTTTGGGAGCCTTCAAGGAATGCAGGTTTTTAATACAAGATTAGGGAATTTGGAAAGAATCCTGGATCTAAAATTAGATTCTCCTAGGATGGGGCTGTAGCTCAGTATAGAGTCACTGGCTAGCATGCAGAAGGCTCTGGGCTTAATCTCCAACCCTGCACACATATAAAAACTTCCCTCAGGTACATGATCTGGTCTAGGTGTTGAGTCCAGTGCCAGCCCTTCCAGGTGCAGTCTCTATCTGAGATTTCCAAATTTCTTGACAAGTCTGTCTCTGACTCTCTCTCCTTAGTTTTATTTTTCATCATAGAATATGTACTCCAGGCCAGGCGTTGGTGGCACACGCCTTTAATCCCAGCACTTGGGAGGCAGAGGCAGGCGGATCTCTGTGAGTTCGAGGCCAGTCTGGTCTACAGAGCGAGTTCCAGGACAGACTCTAAA